CAGCTATGAGAGTACTACTATCCCGGCTGAAGCTGGTCTGTCGGATTGCCGCTACGCATTTGGGATGTGTGAGGGTTGTACACCTGGGAAAAACAAAGAATTGTAATGATTTAAAAATCAAGTGAAATTGGGAAGGGGGGGGGGGGGGTGTTGTTCACAGACAAATCCTCTGCCTAAGAAGCATAATCAAAGTGATTTCTTTAAGGCGTCTGTGAAAGCAACAATGGAAGAAAAACTATTTCAGAGACTGTTGTGTGGAAATGTGGGAAACTGATTGTGAGACATTTAGCAACTCTGTCACAAAGCTAGGCAATGCTAAACAGGAGCAATGAGATGGATTGAAAGACATTACTGAGCAAATGTGTGACTAACTTATGCAGACCATAGATGGGTACGAAAATCGGCCGATTTTTGGATCGTTAGTGGGCTAAATGTTCGGCCGTTTTTCGGTATTTTGGCAGATTTTTTTTTATCGGTAAAGTTGGAAAAAAATCGGCCGATCGGCCGATTTTTGCGGCAATGATGGGCAAATCGGCCGATCTTTTACCGATAAAAAAATCTGCGCATGAGCAGTGACCTGCAAGAGGAAGACAAAAAGAAGAAAAAAGAAGAAGAGGATGAAGAAGAAGAGGATGAAGAAGAAGAGGAAGAAGGAGAAGGGGAAGAGAAGAAGAGGATGAAGAAGAAGAAGAGGATGAAGAAGAAGAGGATGAAGAAGAAGAGGAAGATGAAGAAGCTGAAGAAGAGGATGAAGAAGAAGACGAAGAAGAGGAAGAAGAAGAAGAGGATGCAGAAGAGGATGAAGAAGAGGAAGAAGAAGAGGATGAAGAAGAAGAAGAGGATGAAGAAGAGGAAGCAGAAGAAGAGGATGAAGAAGAGGAAGCAGAAGAAGAGGAAGAAGAAGAGGATGAAGAAAAGGAAGAATAAGAGGAAGAAGAAGAAGAGGATGAAGAAGAGGATGAAGAAGATGAAGAAGAAGAGGAAGATGAAGAAGAGGATGAAGAAGCTGAAGAAGAGGAAGAAGAAGAGAGATGAAGAAGAAGAGGATGAAGAAGTAGATGATGAAGAAGAAGAAGAGGATGAAGAAGAAGAAGAGGATGAAGAAGATGAAGAAGAAGAGGATGAGAAGAGGATTCCAGTCCGGCAAAAAGTGTCCCTGCAGAGAGCTCCGCTATTTCTTTGACAGTTCCTTGACATTTATAGCGGTTGCAACAATGTATCTATTTGTTTCCGAATAAAAACATCTGTATCCTAAATGGATACAAATACATTGTTGCAACCGCTATAAATGTCAAGGAACTGTCAAAGAAATAGCGGAGCTCTCTGCAGGGACACTTTTTGCCGGCTGTAGACGGGATGAAAATGGCCGATTTTTTTTTACCGTTGCTGGTAGCGTCGGCCGCTTGAATGACCGGTTTTTTCATTTTTTTTAAAGAAAAATCGGTCGCAATTTTCGACCCATCTATGGCCTGCACTAGAAAGAAATCCTACACAGCAAACTTACAGATTAGCACGTCTGCACCAAATTCATCACTGGAGAGATTCCATGCAAAACAGATGCGTAATTAAAGCTGAACTCTGGCGATTAGAAGATGATCTGGACAGCTGCACACCCTGAGAATCTCCTTTATTAAAGTGGTAGTAAAACTCTCCCTATTACATTTTCCCCATTTTAATAATCAACACATACTTTATATATTGCTGCCTCTAGATCTCTTGTCATCTGCTTACGTTTCTTGCAATGCGTTGCTGTTCACTTGACATCACCAGCACATGTCCCGTTTATGGCACGCTTGTCGCGTGTTAGTCCTTTCAGGAACATGCCATGGCTCCGTCATGTCCTCACTGCAGTATTGCTCTGCAATCCCCCGAGAGTACAGGCCCATTGAGAATTTCCTGTGTACACCCCCGTGCCGTTGCAAGTCACATGGGGTGTAAACATTGGTGCATAGCACGGGCAGGAGTGAGGAGATCACCTGTATCAAATCCAGACTGTATCTGACACTGCAAAACACATATACAGTCAGGTCCATAAATATTGGGACATCGACACAATTCTAACATTTTTGGCTCTATACACCACCACAATGGATTTGAAATGAAACAAACAAGATGTGCTTTAACTGCAGACTGTCAGCTTTAATTTGAGGGTATTTACATCCAAATCAGGTGAACGGTGTAGGAATTACAACAGTTTGCATATGTGCCTCCCACTTGTTAAGGGACCAAATGTAATGGGACAATTGGCTTCTCAGCTGTTCCATGGCCAGGTGTGTGTTATTCCCTCATTATCCCAATTACAATGAGCAGATAAAAGGTCCAGAGTTCATTTCAAGTGTGCTATTTGCATTTGGAATCTGTTGCTGTCAACTCTCAAGATGAGATCCAAAGAGCTGTCACTTTCAGTGGAGCAAGCCATCATTAGGCTGAAAAAAACAATACAAACCCATCAGAGAGATAGCAAAAACATTAGGCGTGGCCAAAACAACTGTTTGGAACATTCTTAAAAAGAAGGAACGCACCGGTGAGCTCAGCAACACCAAAAGACCCGGAAGACCACGGAAAACAACTGTGGTGGATTACCGAAGTATTCTTTCCTTGATGAAGAAAACACTCTTCACAACAGTAGGCCAGATAAAGAACACTCTCCAGGAGGTAGGTGTATGTGTGTCAAAGTCAACAATCAAGAGAAGACTTCACCAGAGTGAATACAGAGGGTTCACCACAAGATGGAAACCATTGGTGAGCCTCAAAAACAGGAAGGCCAGATTAGAGTTTGCCAAACGACATCTAAAAAAGCCTTCACAGTTCTGGAACAACATCCTACGGACAGATGAGACCAAGATCAACTTGTACCAGAGTGATGGGAAGAGAAGAGTATGGAGAAGGAAAGGAACTGCTCATGATCCTAAGCATACCACCTCATCAGTGAATGGTGGTGGTAGTGTCATGGCGTGGGCATGTATGGCTGCCAATGGAACTAGTTCTCTTGTATTTATTGATGATGTGACTGCTGACAAAAGCAGCAGGATGAATTCTGAAGTGTTTTCGGGCAATATTATCTGCTCATATTCAGCCAAATGCTTCAGAACGCATTGGACGCCGCATCACAGTGCAGATGGACAATGACCCAAAGCATACTGCAAAAGCAACCAAAGAGTTTTTTAAGGGAAGAAGTGGAATATTATGCAATGGCCAAGTCAATCACCTGACCTGAATCCGATTGAGCCTGCATTTCACTTGCTGAAGAAAAAACTGAAGGGAAAATGCCCCAAGAACAAGCAGGAACTGAAGACAGTTGCAGTAGAGGCCTGGCAGAGCATCACCAGGGATGAAACCCAGCGTCTGGTGATGTCTATGCGTTCCAGACTTCAGGCTGTAATTGACTGCAAAGGATTTGCAACCAAGTTGTCAGGAATGGACTTGTCAATAGTGGTGGGACTCACCTGCCTTGTGGGTTGCAGTACCAGGACTGGCCAGTGGGTGCTCTCAGCAACCAGAGGCTCACTCCTGCAGTCAGCCAAAACACCTGAGGCTGATTGTAGGAGGTGCATATAAGGAATGGCCAGACTTGCAATCAGGGCCTTGGTGTATGTTTCCCAAGAGCCCCTGTACCTGCATCCTGTCTGCTTCCTGTCTGATCCCTGATTCTGATTGAACTCCGCCTGTCCTGACCTCTGCGATTCCTGACCACTCTCCAGTCTGCTCCTTTGGTACCTTGTCTGCCTGATTGTTTCTGACCCGGCCCGCCTGACTACGCTCTGCCTGCTCCTTTGTACCTTGCCTGCCCGTTTGCTACCGACCCGGCCTGCCCGACTACGCTTAGCATTTTTCTTTTGTTATCTGTTGGGGGTTTTGGTTTGGTTTGTTTGCACTGTGTTTATGTATTGTTTTGTCTTAAATAAATTATATTGTTTATACTATATCTGAAGCCTGCGTTTCCCTGTGTCAGTCCACACACCTCTGGTCATACCCGGAGCCCTGACATTACACCAAGGCCAATCCTGACCAGAAGTGGCTGCACAGGGAAGCCATCTTGGCTTATTGTTGCTGGGAAGGATGAATCTTGATGAGGTGGTGTATTTGTCTCTGCTAGTGTTTGATGACAGAGACTATGCTTATCAGACTCTGAAGGAGTATACCCGGGATCAACTACTAGAATGCATAAGGAGTTTTTTTGAGGTGCAACCATTGATTCAGGTTTGTGCAGAGTTGGTTTCATCTGGTACTCCCCCCGAAAGCAGGGATGAATTTTTGCCACCATTTAGTGCCGTCCAGGTAGAGTCCCTGGTATGGTTATTGGAAGATGATGTGGATTACTTTCTGGAACGTTATTCTGCATGTTCACAACAGGTACTAAGAGACTGTATAAATGCAGTGCAGTCTTTGACCAGACAGGCTTTGTGTAAGCTGAGCTTTGTTCAACCCATACTGCAGACATGGTCAGACTTGTTGCACCCAGCCTCAGTCAGCTTGCAACGTCATTCCTCTGCTCAAGGCACTCTTCCTGCATCCCCGACAGCACCCCCAGTGACGGCCCAGTATACTCTGCTAACTACCACATATCAGTCCCCTGCTCCCACTCGCTGCACCTATCCTATCTTTAACCCTGTAAAGAAGTCCTCTGTAGCAACTGCTCCCTCCTTTGTTCCATCCCCCAGCTCTTCTCTGCCTACAGCTGCTCTATCCACTTACAAACCTTCGCTTACTTCCTGTGCTCCAGTAACTAAAACCAGGAAAAAGCGAAAATTCTTTCCAACCAGTACCATCCTGCCAGTAACCAAATCGGTCAGCCTGCCGTCTGAGAACCTGCCTTCCGTGGTTCAGCCTGGTGCCCCGGCATACGCAATTCAGCCTGATACCCTGATGCCTGATGACCCAGTGTACGCTACCCAGTCTGATGGTTCTACCCAGCCTGATGTTCCTATCCAGCCTGTTGAACTGATCAAGTCAGATGACCTGTTGCCAGATGACCCGGTACCCACTGTCGAGCCAGACAATCCAATGCCTGATGACCTGGTGCCCGCTGTCGAACCAGATGACCCGGTACTCGCTGTCGAGCCAGATGACCTGATGCCAGAAGACCCGGTGCCCGCTGTCGAGTTTGACGACCCGATGCCCGCAGTCTTGCCAGATGACTCGGTGCCCGCTGTCTTTCCAGATGACTCGGTGCCCGCAGTCGAACTTAAAGACCCGATGCCCACTGTTTTGCCAGATGACTCGGTGCCCGCTGTCTTGCCAGATGACTCGGCGCCCGCTGTGTTGCCAGATGACTCGGTGCCCGCAGTCTTGCCAGATGACTCGGTGCCTGCTGTCTTGCCAGGTGACTCGGTGCCCGCAGTCGAGCTTAAAGACCTGATGCCCGCTGTCTTGCCAGATGACTCGAAGCCCGCTGTCTTGCCAGATGACTCGGTGCCCGCAGTCTTGCCAGATGACTCGGAGCCCGCTGTCTTGCCAGATGACTCGGCGCCCGCTGTCTTGCCAGATGACTCGGCGCCCGCTGTCTTGCCAGATGACTCGGTGCCCGCTGTCTTGCTTGACGACCCGATGCCCGCTGTCTTGCCAGATGACCCGGTGCCCACTGTCTTGCCAGATGACTCGGTGCCCGCTGTCTTGCCAGATGACTCGGTGCCCGCTGTCGAGCTTGACGACCCGATGCCCGCTGTTTTGCCAAACGACTCGGTGCCCGCTGTCTTGCCAGATGACTCGGCGCACGCTGTCTTGCCAGATGACTCGGTGCCCGCTGTCTTGCCAGATGACTCGGTGCCCGCTGTCGAGCTTGACGACCCGATGCCCGCTGTTTTGCCAGACGACTCGGTGCCCGCTGTCTTGCCAGATGACTCGGTGCCCGCAGTCTTGCCAGATGACTCGGTGCCCGCTGTCTTGCCAGATGACTCGGTGCCCGCTGTCGAGCTTAAATACCCGGTGCCCGCTGCTCCGCTTGGTGGCCCAATGCCCGCTGCTCCGCCTGGTGGACCGGTGCCCGCAGCTCCGCCTGGTGGCCCAGTGCCCAGCCTGATGTGCCTCTGTCCAGTGCCCAGCCTGATGTGCCTCTGTCCGGTGTCCAGCCTGATGTGCCTCTGTCCGGTGCCCAGCCTGATGTGCCTCTGCCCGGTGCCCAGCCTGATGTGCCTCTGCCCGGTGCCCAGCCTGATGTACTAGTCCTTCATATCCCGCCAATTACCGGATCCAGGCGGTGGAACATTTTGCCCATTTAGGACGGTTTGGAGCGTCCTGAGGCTGCTCCTTGAGGGTGAGGTACTGTCAGAAATGGACTCTCCAATAGTGGTGGGACTCACCTGCCTTGTGGGTTGCAGTACCAGGACTGGCCAGTGGGTGCTCTCAGCAACCAGAGGCTCACTCCTGCAGTCAGCCAAAACACCTGAGGCTGATTGTAGGAGGTGCATATAAGGAATGGCCAGACTTGCAATCAGGGCCTTGGTGTATGTTTCCCAAGAGCCCCTGTACCTGCATCCTGTCTGCTTCCTGTCTGATCCTGCTTGATCCCTGACTCTGATTGAACTCCGCCTGTCCTGACCTCTGCTATTCCTGACCACTCTCCAGTCTGCTCCTTTGGTACCTTGTCTGCCTGATTGTTTCTGACCCGGCCCGTCTGACTACGCTCTGCCTGCTCCTTTGTACCTTGCCTGCCCATTTGCTACCGACCCGGCCTGCCCGACTACACTTAGTATTGTTCTTTTGTTATCTGTTGGGGGTTTTGGTTTGGTTTGTTTGCACTGTGTTTATGTTTAGTCTTGCACTGCGTTTATGTATTGTTTAGTCTTAAATAAATTATATTGTTTATACTATATCTGAAGCCTGCGTTTCCCTGTGTCAGTCCACACACCTCTGGTCATACCCGGAGCCCTGACACAAGTATTAAAAAGTGAAAGTTTGATTTATGATTATTATTCTGTCCCATTACTTTTGGTCCCTTAACAAGTGGGAGGCACATATGCAAACTGTTGTAATTCCTACACTGTTCACCTGATTTGGATGTAAATACCCTCAAATTAAAGCTGACAGTCTGCAGTTAAAGCACATCTTGTTCATTTCATTTCAAATCCATGGTGGTGGTGTATAGAGCCAAAAATGTTAGAATTGTGTTGATATCCCAATATGTATGGACCTGACTGTATATATATATATATATATATATATATATATATATATAAAACCTTTGTTTTACAAAAATTAATTGAATGCCAGATAATGGATTCCCAGAGTGCTAAAAATTATCTTAAAGAGACGAACATAGCAGAAGAAACAGACAAAAGTGGTCTCCTCAAAGAGAGTAATTTGTAGAGAAGGGAAAGAGTCGCAGTTTTAACTCAGTCTCTGTGTGTAAATTTTAGCTTCAGCTATTGAGCTCTGCAAACAGACTTTTAAAAAACAAAGCCCCTGGAAAACCAGTTAAAATGTCTAAATCTCCATCTGCTGGCTACAATTGAAATTAATATTTTCTATACAGGGCACATTTGTTGCACTCTCCTTAGGCGATAGCTTTGTGGAAACTTCCGGTTACACGATAGCGAGCTTTAGCTGCCGCTTCTTGTCATAGCCAGCTTATATTTTAACACCCTTGTCTATAGCTCTCAGTACTAGGGGTGATGTAATGATGCAGCCCCAGCAGTCAGAAGTCTTTAATATTGGCTCAAACAGCAAAGCATCAATGTCCCCCGCCCCCGCGGCTTGAACCATACAGATTTTCTGGGACAAGTAGTTCCTGTACTGCCACTGCTCCCTGCCTGCCTCTAGCTAGAAATATAAGATACAAGATAAGGTACATTGCCCCGGGGTAGGGGAGAAAATGATCACTTGAATGCCTGGAGTCCGGCTTTAATCACTTTGCCAATAAACCAATAACAAAAGTACCCGGGAACCACACTGCACACATCTGAGCACAAAAATCTGATTGGATTATTTTACGGTCTTTTCCCCCCCACTGGGATGCCCCCCTTGCTTCTGTGCTCCCAATGGGAATGAAGACAATTAAAGCGGTATTAAACCCAAAAGCAAACATTTACTGTATTGTAGCTCACCAATCCTTAGATGTGATGGCTGCTTTAGTTTGCTTTTTTTGGGTTCTTTTCTTTTACTTTCACTTGGTGATCCAGCCAGTAAGTCTGTTCTTTTTCAACAGAAGAAGCTGTCTGCAAATGCATCAGTTAAAAGTGTTGAGACAAACCATTTACAACTGACAGGGGTGCTTGCAACCATCAGCTGTTATGTATGTAAATTCTTTCCCAAAAGAAAAAAAAAAATGTTGCTGTAACTGTTTGTAAAGTGTGAGCTGGAGTTTGGCTTGTTAGTGTATCTAAATCTGCTAGTACATCAAACACTCCCCTCCCCCTAGACTAGCCTTTCTCAACCAGGGTGCCCAGGCACACTGGGGTGCCTTGAGGTTTCTTCAGGGGTACCTTGGCAAAATGTCCAGTGGGGGGAACAAACCTGCCTTTTAGTTACACAAAGTCACAGGATTTTCATTGTGCACCATTCTGACCTTCTAGCCTCCTACTTCCTAACTGTCAATGACATCATCAGCTGATAAGGAGGATGTCCACTGCCTGCACACAGGGGCGTCCCTAGGCAGGTGGGGGGGATGCGCAATGCACTGGGTGACACCTACCGCACAAGGTGACACCGGACCTGCTCCACAAAAAAGGTAAGTTGTAAAGCAAGCCGAAGATCCCCACAGGATGGATCGGATCTGCGGATTGAGCATAACGGATCAGAGTCCGATCCATTATGCTCCCCAATCCACAGATCCGATCCATCCTGTGGGGATCTTCAGCATGCAACCTATACGGGGTGACACCGGACCCGCTCCACGAAAAGGTAAGTTGTAAAGCAAGCCGACTCCCTGCAGGATGGATCCGATCTGCGGATTGGGGAGCATAACTGATCGGACTCTGATCCATCATGCTCAATCCGCAGATCCGATCCATCCTGCAGGGATCGTCATACAACTTACCTTTTTGAGGAGCGGGTCCGGTGTCACCCTGTGTGGTAGGTGTCACCCCGGTGTGGCGCACACCCCCTGCACCTGCCTAGGGACGCCCCTGTGTGCAGGCAGTTGACATCCTCCTTATCAACTGATGTTGTCAGGACGCCAGCGGTTAGAAGGTCGGAACTTACCTTTTCATGGAGCGGGTCCGGTGTCACCCCATATAGGTTGCATGCCGACGATCCCCGCAGGATGGATCGGATCTGCGGATTGGGGAGCATAATGGATCGGGCTCCGATCCATTATGCTCAATCCGCAGATCCAATCCATTCTGCGGGAATCATCGGAGGGGGTGCCACCACGTGTTACCGCACCGGGTGACACCAACTCTAGGGACGCCCCTGCCTGCACAGCATCCTAGTTTGACCCTTCCCTGCCCCCCTCCATCAGTGCCGGGGTCACAGTAGCTCAGTGATGGAGGACAGGTGCTTTGGGACTGCCCACAATTTTAAAGAGTGCCTTGACTGAAAAAAGGTTGAGAAACGCTGCCTTAGACTGACAATGTTTCTGTGTGCTATGCCCCCGGTGCTCCTTCACCCAGAGTGGGGGCTCTCTAATACAGGTGGTGCGTCACTGGCCAGATCGCCAGGTGAAATCAGAGGGGGGGAAAAAAAGCCTAAAAAAAAAAACTAATGCAGCTGACACATCTAATTATTGGTAAGTGGCAATATATTACATTTTTGGTTTTTGGTTTAACCACTTCCCGTCCGGCCCATGTATATAAAATGCCGGACGGTGGCAGTGCAGGGGCGGGTTGCTGTTCATAAACGGCGCCCTTCCTTTTGGACTGTGCGTGCTCCCTGGAAGCGAGTGGCACCACGATCCGGAGGACACAGCGGAACACCGATCACTGTACGGGACCTCTGTGTGAGGTCCCGATCACGTGATCACTGATTGGCCAATCAGTGATCACATGAATAGTAGTAAGCAAGATGTCACTTCCTGACATCATTGCTTACTACTTGTGAAATCTGTGAATGATCACAGAGGTCACATGGCACAAGGCTATTCACAACAGCCTTGTACCATGTGACAAGCTGTGACCAATCACAGCTCACACAGTATTTCTCAATTGCTGCAAGAATGCAGCCAGAGAGAAGGAGAAATGATTGCTTTTATAGCCTTTATGGGTGTAAAAGCAATCAGTGTACAAAAAAAAAAAATCTTCATCACCCCCCACACAAGTAGTACAGTGTCACTATGGTGACACTGTACTGCTAGGGTGACAAGTATGTTAAAAAAAAAAAAAAATAATAATATAAAAAAAATAAAAGTGTAAACAATTTTTTTTGAAAAATTATAATTTTTGGTTATAAACTAATTTGGGTTTTTTTTTTTACTAAAAAGATAACTGAATAAATGTTGGCCAAGATTTATGAAGAAAGATTATTATTTGCAAATTTTTATAACAAAAACACTTTTTTTCAAAATCTTTTGACTTTTTCATTTATATAGCAAAAAAAAAAAAAAATCCCAGTGGTGAATAAATACCACTAAAATAAAGTTTTTTTGTCTCAAAAAAAATGCTAAAAAATTCATATGGGTACAGTGTTGCATGACCGCGCAACTGTCATTCAAAGTGTGATAGCGCTGAAAGCTG